ACGTGGAGCTACTTGTGGGGGGCAGTGGGAGAGATGGCCATAGCCGAAGCCAGAAGGGGGAGAGAGATGGAGCAACTTTGGAACTCTTGCCTCCGGGAGGCAGTGCTTCCTCCGCACGGCCAACCAGCCTGTTTGCAAAGTTACTCCAGCTCTCTCCCCCTTCTGGCTTTGGCTATTGCAGTCTCTCCCACTGCCCCCCCCCCGCAAATAGCTCCACGTCCCAGCTTCTTGCAGATGAAGGAGGACACAGGCAGGTAACGGTGGGGGGAGGGGGAGCGGCTGCTTGTTAGCTGGCTGCTCCCTGGAGAGGGAGGGTGGGGAGCGAGCGAGCGAGCAAAGAATCAAAGCCGTGCGTTGGGGCACTTCCCGGGCTGGTTGCCCCACAGCAGCTTCCCTGTAGGGAAGGGCCGCTGGAGGAAGCCACACACCCACCTGCAAGCGTGACACATCCACCAGCAAGCACGACTCACCCACCAGTAAGCGGGGGTGCCCCACCCCCCAACCGGCCCGTGCATGGAGCACACACACCCCAAACGGTCCGTGGACCGAAAAAGGTTGGGGACCACTGTGCTAGACAATGTCACATTAACAACTGTCAAATTCACTGCAGCTATTTAAAAACTATCTGAGGAAAATCTAGGAAAGGATATAATTATGAAATGTAAAGCTAGGAGCTTTTCTAGCATGTCATCTCAAGAACTAACACCATTGTGCCCTTAAAGGCAAATGTTTTTGTCTTAAATGTGCATCAGTTTCTTTTTTAATTACATTATTATGCATTTTCAGAAGTTCTTATTTAAAATGGGATATTGGAAGCTGGACAGAAAATCCACAGAATCCACTAATCAGTGAACATATACAAAATGATACAGTGGTGCCCCGCACAGCGAGGTTAATCCGTTCCGGATTAACCTTCGCTGTGGGAAACATCGCACTACGGAATAGAAAAAGGCATTGGAACACATTAAACAGCGTTTAATGCGTTCCAATGCCATAGAATACTTACTGTTGTGCGATGTTTCACAGGGGCCAGCAGCCATTTTCGCGCCCTCCCCTCGCACAACGAGGGCGCCAAAATGGCTGCCATCAGCTGTCCGGTGGGTCCAAAATGGCCGCCGGAACAGCCGAAAGGGCCCGGGGTGCAGCGTTTTCGTGCCCTTGGTAAGCAAGGGGAGCGCGCGAAAACGCTGCCGGAAGCCCCGAAATGGTTGCGCGCA